TTTTCGGTTCGGTTTGATTTCAGTTCGGTTTAGAACTGATTCGGTTCATTAACAGGTTCGGTTCTTATACGGTCTAATGTTATTTGGATCGGTTCGGTTTCGGATTCATTCACATACGGTTCGGGTCGGTTTTCGATTTAAAAAAAAAAAAAAGGTTTTTAATCGGTTCGGTTCTCATTTGAGTCGGTTTGTTTCGAACAGTTAAACGGTTTCGGTTTGAAATTTGACAACACTAATTAAGACCGGTCAATATAATGCTCTTGACTAAATGTTACATAATCAAGTGTGACAATTAAACAATTAACTCGTTTGATTTAAAGGAGTATTAAACTTTAAACCTAGAGGTAACTCGTCATGCATAAAGCATACACACTGACTTTTTTTTTCTTTTCTATGAAAGAAGTCTCAAAAGATTGTCACACGGCATCTACTAACAATTAATAGACAAATTATATTTAACAAAGTCAAATAAGAACCAACCATGATGAGAGGTAAGAATTCAAATGCAAAGATCCAACCATTTCTCACATTCATTGTTCATTGTTTCATAGAACTTATAAGCGTATTCACTTTCAAATGCACAATGTATCCCTAAGGTTTTTAAGAAAAAATACCAAATACTCCTAAATTCGTAACAAATGTAAATTTTGTTAGATTGAGACCCCCTAAGCATTAAATTATATTACATTATTGTAGTGTAATACTACTGTAATGCTAAAATATTTTATTATCAATTAAACTTAGGCTCCGTTCTCTTCAAATTAAATTTGCTGAACTGAAATTATTTTTACTGAACTGAAATTATTTTTCCTGAACTCAAGTTATTTTTACTGAACTTAAATTAATTTTACTGAACTGGAATTATTTTTGCTGAACTGAAATTATTTTTACTGATTTTCTATTATAATTCTTCTTTAATAAAACTGAATTTTGCTGACTGAACTTATTTTTACTGAACTAAAATTATTTTTACTGAACTGAAATTAATTTTACTGAACTGAACTTATTTTTACTGAAATGAAATCATTTTTACTTCATATTATTTTTTTTAAGGTGAAGAGAACAGAGCCTTAAATAATAAATCAAATTCTAACACTTGAAAGTTTAGAATTTAGAATGATAGTTGGAGTTCAAATTTTAATGTATAGTATTAGGCGGTTTTATTATATAAATATAAAGTATCAACAAAGAGTTCGTGTGTGGGCATGATTTTAGTTTGAGAAGTTAGTAATATCTGCTTTTGTTAGATGATAAGGGTATTTTGTGCATTTTTTTTTTTTTACAAACCTTAAGAGTTCATGGAGCATTTAAAGATTTTTATGGGTACATAGTGCATTTTTCAAAACATCAAGGGTACACAGAATAATTTCCCTAAATTAATTTTTTTTAACATCAAAATAATACTTATTAAGTTAGTTTTTTATACGAAATTTTATTACTAGTGCATCCTATTTTAAAGTTAAATTACATAAACTCCATATACAGCCAAAAGTAAAAAAAAAAAAAATTTCTTATGATTTTAAGAATTAAATTACATCCAGTACTTCGTGAAATAGCAAAGAGAAATATATATATATATATATATATATATATATATATATATATATTACACTAATATTAGTGTACATCGAGCAGTATAAGGGTAACTTTTAGCTAATTTTAGGGTAACTTTTTGCCTGTTTTTGGGTAACTTAAACATAATACAATTTTTATATAAATAGACAACAAGAAAAGTTTTATAAAGATAATTTAATTACATTCAATCATTAATAATTGATTTTTAGTCATTTAAAATGTGATTCTTTACTAATAAAGTGTAGATAATTTGTATTTGAATTAGGTTACTTTTACGCATATTGGGGTAACTTTTATTCATTTCAGAGGTAACTTTTAATCACTTTAAGCTATCTCTATAATGGATGTACAATAATTATTGTACATCTGATTTTTTAAAAAGTTTGTGATATATATATATATATATATATATATATATATATATATATATATATATATATATATATATATATATATATATATATATATATATATATATATATATATATATATATTAGGAAAAATTGCCCAGAATAATCTCACCTTTAGCCCATCCGCTAAAAATAATCCCACCTTTGGATTATTTTTAAATAATCTCACCTTTACCCCTTTATCTTTTTTAATGGTCCCATTTTACCAGGAACCGGTTGAGTAGGTAATTTTTATTTTTTTAAGTTTAATTGACACGTGTAGCTACCTGATTGATAAAAAAAAAATTAGTAAAAAAAATTTAAACAAAAAAAACAGCACCACCTAAGCCACCACCATCCCCACCACCACCCAAACCCAAACCCTACAACCACCATCCCCCTAGACCCGAAACCACCGCCACGGAGATCGCACTGGCCGAAATCCCACACACCCACCCTCCCAGCCAACCCAACCCCATTAACCAATAAGCTTAACCATTCGAAAACCCACCAAACTAAATCGATAAATCCCAGAAAACGGGATGAATCAGGTAGGGGATTCGACATCGGGGAATCAAGGGACGGGGGAGGTTGGCTGGGCAGAATCAGGGGATGGGGGAGGTCGGCGAAGCCGAAATTAGGGGACGAGGGATGAGGGAGGTTAGTGACGTCGGAATCGGGTGGGGGAGGTTAGTGAGTTGAGACCAGATTCGTGGGTCAAGGAGTTCGGTGAGCTAAGGCCGGATTTGTGGGTCAAGGAGTTCAGCGTGACCGAATTTGGGGCTAATTTGTGGGCGTCGAAGCAGCTTCTCTATTGATGTTCGTCGGCGGCTTGCGAAGGAGTAGCAGTAGCGCTGCTACTTGGTGGTTTGCGGGTTGCTGCTGGAGTCAGGCCGGCCGAAAACTTGAAGGGATTGGCCGGAATCGGGAAGGGGAAGGTATTTGGTGGTCGGATTCGGGGTGGGGAAGGAGATGGTGGCCGGAAAGCTGGTGGCTGGGGCTGCCGGATTTTTGTTTTGGGATTTTTTTTAATTTTTTTCTGGTTTTTTTTTGTTTTTTTTTTTATTTTTTGACCAATCCTATACTGACACGTGTCTAGTAACTTGTAATTACAAGTTAGGTGTCCGGTTGGGACCATTTAAAGCGGAAGAGGTATAAAGGTCGGATTATTAAAAAATAATCAATAGGTGGAATTATTTTGAGCGGATGAGAAAAAGGTCGGATTATTTAGGGCAATTTTTCCTATATATTAAAGCTAATTTGCTTGGAAATTAAACTTGCCAAAAATAAAAAGTTTGTGATATATATATATATATATATTAGAAGAACTGATAATATATGATTAAACAAAAATACTCTGTGGGTTCTCATAATGTTGCACCATTTGTTTTTAGGAAGTTTTCCGTATATTACACCATACCCATTTTAGGAATATAAACATTCCTTCTTACATTGCAAATAATTAATACTATACCTTTATTTTTTAACACATACTTGGTTTTTTTTGTTTTTTTTATTTCTTGTAATCACATGGGAAAAAAATTTCCTCTCTCTTCCTTTTTCCCACAAAGAAAAAAAAAATAATAAATAAATAAAATTCTTACCCTCTCCTTATAGTGCAATATCAAAAGAATAGAGGAAGTATAGAGCAACTCCAATGGTTGTAGTTAGGGACTTGCTTGCAATTTCAATAATTCCCTAGCTACTAGCTTGACCATTGGAGCTAGAAAACTCAATTAGCTTGGCAAAGCTAATTTGCTTGGAAATTGAACTTGCCAAAAATAAAATGCTCATTGCACCAATTAACCTCTTTTTATGTATTTTTTTTTATTCGACGACTACTACTAAGCTAATAGCTAGCCATTGGAGCAAAAAGTAGCTAAAATGGTAATTAACTTCAAAACTTATGTGACATGACAAGCTAATTGTGAAATTAGCTTTGCCATTGGTGTTGATCAAGGTGCCAATGATTTTTCTAAAAAAAAAGGGTAAACTTTTTTATTTTCATACATGAATAATTTAATTGTTTTTTTCCTTATAATGAAATGAACTAAAGAAGTTAATTTGTTTATTAATTTTTTAGATGATCATGACAAATATTTTAGGGCATCAAGAGAAGAAAAATACAAAAGATAGGGCATCAAAGTGAAATCATCAAATCATTGGACTTAGTGAAATATAGTATTAAAAACTAGCTAAGTTCTGAAAAGGATTAATCATGCATGATGTTATATTAAATTGAAAGTTGAGACATACAAAGTATGTATCTAGTATCTACAATTCTACATTAAACGGTAAACAAATTAATTTTTGTGTGTGTATATATATATATATATATATATATATATATATATATATATATATATATATATATATATATATATATATATATATTTTGTAAATGGTAGAAGCATTTGTTTAATATAGATATGTGCTAATGTGCTATCATATTACAAAGTATGTATTATTATTGTGTATGAGAGATTTTTTTGTAAGGGATGGAGTAAATTATGAGCTTTTATTAGGAAGAGTAATTTATTTTTTTGACAAAGAGATAATGACTTTATTTAATATACTCCTTCCGTCCCTTAATTAGATTCCTACTTCTCTCTATTATATGAAGAATAAATGCTAGAAATTGAAATCTAATTAAGGGACGGAAGGAATATAATATATCTTCTAAATTGACAATAAATTAGGAATGCATGATAGAATTATGCAACAATTTATAAATTTCATGTCTAATTTCACGCAAGGCCAGATGCATATGTTTCATTCACCTACTTGATATTCTATTACTTATAATTTAAATTATTTGAACTTTTTTTTTTTTTGAAGAACTTTTAATTATTTGAACTTACCTACACTTTGACAATATTTTAACTTATATGTGCTACTAAGAAGTAACAGTTTGGTTTTTCCTTACACCCAGAAGTAAACTCACACGTCAATTAGTTAGGTTATTAATTAAATTTTGATTATTTAAATATGGAGATCGAATACTGTTTTTAATGTTGGGTTTTATTATTATTGCAGGAGATATGGACACTTTGTAGAATATTCAAGCGAAACAAAAGGCACACACCTGATTGGAGGGAATTATCTAACAAAAAGAATGCTGTAAATTCAAGCTCAAAAACAAGCAGCATTGATTCCAACACTAATCAAGAATGTTACATTAGCTTTGCAACTCATCAATCCTCAACACCTAACAATGGCTATACTAATCTTTTCGTCCCCAACGAAGATACTAATAATAGTAATAATACTAACAACGTTTGCATAGGAACTCAAAATATTACTACAGGTGATGATGAAAAAAATGCACATTTTCAAGCAGATCATCAGCAACAACTGAATCATATGGCTCAAAATTCTTCATGTACAACGCGGCCGAGCATGTTGGATCATGTTCTAACAAATGACGGGAATGATTTGCAGTATTTTGCTTATTATGAGCATAATTGGGATGATCTTAATTCAGTAGTAGAGTTAGCTGTGAAAAACCCTTTTCTGTAAGTGTTAAATAACATATTAATTATTAACATATTGTTTATATAATAGGATAGGAAAGTTATAATATGTCAAATTAAACTTTTGGATTTTAATTTGCTCTAAGGAGAATTTTTGTTCTTATAAACTTCTACTGTAATTTTTTTTTTTCTTTAGAGATTTAGTAATATTGCTATATATGTTGATGTAGGACTCATATAACTAATTGTTTACAGCTAGTATACACCCAAGAGTATCATATATGCAGAAACACACACCCTTACCTTTTCTTTCTTTATCATTGAAATCTCATTTCACATTTTTACTCATTTTTTTAAAAAAAATTTGGTGAATTTGATCACAACGTAGGCATCGACGCATCGTTTAGGTAATTCCACTTCTTGTTTTCTTTTATGATGTGCATTAATCTTATTCTTATTTACAGATTGGAGAGGGTAATGTACATAAAAACAAGCTACTCACACAATTGGTATACTAATTCCCTCCTAAAACTTCTCTGCTTTCACATTAATGTACATTTTAATAAAATCATTTTTTTTTTTTTTGGTGTTGATTTATTCATTTTATAAAAGTGCATTCTCTAATCTTGCTTGGAAATCTATACGATCATTTGCTTTGTGGAATCGCATTCTTAAGGTACACAAAACTTACAATGGTATGAACTATGAAGTGAATGTACTTTGAAATAAATTGACTTTTTTTATATGTTTCTTTTATTAAGTGAACCAGCTCGTCTAAGTTCTTCAAATAAGTTAAACGATGCCAAAGAAAGGAAAAATAAAATTTAAAATTAAACAGTTTTGTCAAAGAAATTGATTTTATGAAAAACCAGTTTTTATATTAAAAAATTCACTGAAAATTAAAAAAACAAAAAATTGACATAAGTTCACTAGTTTATTATTACCACATTACAGTGATAATCACAGCTTATTTAGCCATTAGAACACTTCAGATCTCGACCAATTTAACAAGTCACAAACATGGAAATTTTGCACCAAATTTGCACCTGCTGAGTAATAACAAAATATAGGCATCACAAACTTTCCAGGATCTGGCTTGAAAAAACCAAGTCATCATATCAGAGAAAATTCAGTCTTTCAACCTCATCAGATTGCAGATAATAATATAAGGCAACACAGAAATCATCTACTGGAGGAAAGACGTTAAAAATCTACTACAATACAAAGTTTTTAAATCTCCCACAAACGGGAAAAATAATACTCAACGTAACATACGATAACAGTATCTCTAGATGGAGGCAAAATGATGGAAACAGAAATAGATAGAACACCAAAGTAACTTCACAAACAACTCACAGATGAGATTATAGCTTGTCCTCAAACTCAGAAAGTGGGGTAATTGCTTCCTTCAATCCCTTCCTCTTACGAATGTTTCCAACAAGGGCTGCAGCTTGTGATGTTGGGTCCAGAGGATCCTGAGTCATTATTTCCCAATGATCAAACACACACTGTGGGAAAGCTTGACCAGAGGTTGCAGCTCTCAAAGTACTTGAAAATCCGAAGGACTCGACGACAGGAAGGTAAGCCTTGATGTTGTAGAGTGGGGTACCAGGTCGCTGCATTTCCTCAAACACATGTCCACGTTTCTGGTTAAGAACACTGTAGATACCACCAAGAGCTTGTTCAGGAGCTTGGATCTCAACAAGATAGATGGGCTCCATCAATCTGGGCTTGGCAGTTAGCTGGGAAGCGTACATGACTCTCCTAGCGGTTGGAATAACCTGCCCACCTCCTCTGTGGATGGCGTCAGCATGGAGAACCACATCACAAACCTCAAAGCAGATACCTCTCATGTTTTCTTCAGCCAAAGCACCTTCTTTTGAAGCCCACTGGAAACCAGCAACAACAGAGTCCTTAATTTCATTGAGATACTGGACTCCCTTACACATATCAACCACCATGTTGGGACCAGTAGTTTCTGGACCAAAACACCAGATCTTCTTAGCAAGATCCTTGTCCCACCCAAATTCCTCAGCCAAGATCTTGGAACGGATCTTGGGGTCGTCTCTTGGGCCAATTCTTCCTTCATCAATGGCCTCGGCAAGCCCATCTTCCATTGGACGAGCTTCCATGTATAAACGGTTGTGCTTGTTGGGAGACTTGCTCATCACAACACGGCTTGACTTCTCAAGAACAGTCTCACGGAAGGATACAACAGGGTCTGACTTGCTGATTTCAGCCCCACCCATGAAGTCGTCCTGCAGATCCTTCAAACAGATTTCCAGATGGAGCTCACCAGCACCAGCAATAATGTGTTCACCAGATTCTGTAATGCTACAAAGAACCATAGGATCTGACTTGGCCAGACGCTTCAGACCTTCAACAAGCTTGGGAAGATCAGATGCAACCTTACACTGCACAGCAACACGGACAACAGGTGATACAGAGAACTTCATGGCTCGGATTGGGTGGGCATCCACTTCCTTCTCGTTTGTAAGAGTGGCATTCTTTGTGATAAACTGATCCAAACCAACCATAGCAACAGTGTTTCCACATGGAACATCTTCAACAGTTTCCTGCCTTTTTCCCATCCAAATGACAGTTCTCTGGACATTCTTAACATACAGATCTTTTTTCTCCCCGGGAACATAGTTAGGTCCCATGATTCTAACCTTCATACCGGTTGAAACTTTTCCCGCAAAGACACGGCCAAAAGCAAAGAACCTCCCCTTGTCAGGTGCAGGAATCATTTTTGATACATAGAGCATCAAAGGTCCCTCAGGGTCACAGTTCCTGATTGCTGTCGCATAGACATCATCCATGGGCCCCTCGTACAAGTTCTCCACACGATATCTCTGAGCCGTTGCAGGAGACGGCAAATGATAGATCATCATTTCAAGTAAAGCACTGCTAGCTGGGAGCCAGGTCTGCATGACACGCTTCATTAATGCCTTACCCATCAATTCTTTTTCTTCAGACTTCAATTGGACACCAAGCTTTGTCAGCATGGGCCACAGTTTATCCTTTTGATCATTCATGCAAGTAGCAATGACCTGCTTGATGGGCTCATAGCAAAATTGAACAAATCCACGTTTACATGTAGCTGTCCCAGTGTTCTTGGTGGTCCACTTCTTGGTGGCTGGGTCAAAAAAGTTCTCACCCCAGAGACGTTCCATCATCTTAGCCTCATCAACACCGAACTTAGATGCATACATCTTAGCAAAGTTGGACAGAGTAAAAGCCCACCCATGGAGACCAGCTGAGAAAGCAACTGTTCCCTTCTCAGGGTAAACTTGGACATCACCCAGAAGGGGATCTTCATAGGTAGCCATGATGACATTAGCATTCTCAATAACCTTCTGGAATGTTGTGTAAGCCTCCTCTCCATCAACCTGGAGCTCAAGGAAGCAACGGTCCATCTTATTAACAGTAAGAACAGGCCTGATCCTCTCACCAAGAGCCTGGCGAAGGACAGTCTCAGTCTGGACACATACACCCTCAATACAGTCAACAACGACAAGAGCTCCATCAGTGATACGCAGAGCAGCAGTAACCTCTGAAGAGAAGTCAACGTGCCCAGGGGAATCAATAAGATTGATCAGATAATCATTGCCATCACGCTCTCCCTTGAATGCATTCAAAGCTTCATCTGTCATCTGATAATACAGAGAAATTCCAGTGGACTTGATGGTAATACCACGCTCAGCTTCATCAGCACGGGTATCAGTCATACGTACATCACCAGCAACTTCCTGGGCAATGATACCAGCAGCAGCCACCAAAGAATCAGTGAGGGTTGATTTTCCTGTATATAAGAATAAAGCAATAAGGGTTAAAAAAAAAACAAGTCCAGCAGATAGCAACTTAATGGTATAAATGACGATAATTGGGCACTATCTACAAACTAAAGAGAGCATAAACAAAGATTTCCATGAAACAAAGAGATAAAAGTAATGTCCTGGTTCAATAGAAATACGATAACTTTACCCAATATACTAAGACTTAAGCATCCTAAACATGTTAATTTACAATTTTATGCAAGAGTGATTACAAAGGACCTTAATCAAATTTTGAGATCTTTTTAACAAGAAAAAAGCAAGCATGAATTAAGAATTCTTTACAACATAAAAGACAACAACATTCCACCGTAATTCAATGTAGATTTGACAACATTGCAGAACACATCAACATTTAAAGCAGCAGACATAAATTTGAGCTTAGTAAACAAACCTTATGACACCAATAGAAGCAATCAACAGGAAAACACACTTACTTGAAACAAACACATACTCAATAGACCATATTCTGAAATATCAACCACTTTTACTACTCCTTCCATCCCCTTTTGATAGTCCCTTATGGGCATTTTTACGGGAATTAATAAACACAAAAAATAATTGTTTAAGTACATTGAAAAAGTAAATTGACATTGGGTATGCAAAAACTTAGAGAGAGAAAGTAATAAAAGTACATGAGAAAACAAAATTTACTTGGGAAAGTTAAATTTACACAAATATAGTTGCAAATATAGTCCCTTATGGGCATTTTTACGGGAATTAATAAACACAAAAAATAATTGTTTAAGTACATTGAAAAAGTAAATTGACATTGGGTATGCAAAAACTTAGAGAGAGAAAGTAATAAAAGTACATGAGAAAACAAAATTTACTTGGGAAAGTTAAATTTACACAAATATAGTTGCAAATTAGAGGGAATTTTGATAAAAAAATAATATTAATAGTTGTTAGAAAAGGCAAATGGGATGAAAATTTTGGGACTAAAATTTGTCCATAAGGGACTATCAAAAGGACACAGAGGGAGTAAATACAATAAGCATGAATAAAACGATTCACAGTATAAGGCAATGACAACAATTCTTTCCACTTATTGCACAGATAGCACCTACTACCTCCATTTTATGTGTTTTGCAACTTTGGAATATTTTATATCACAAATAATGCCCAAAGTTGCAAATACTCATCAAACTTGATGACACTGATTCAAGCAATTAACAGGTAAACACAAGAACTAGCATCAATCAGAGTATTGGATTAATGTATAATGACTTTTTGCAACGTAGCAAACAAGCAATAAAGATACAAGACTATAAAAAGGATTCATTACCATGATCGACATGGGCAATAACAGACATATTACGGATGTTATGTTTGCAGTCCATAATCCTGCGGAGCTCATCCGCTGTAAACTTCACCTGCAAACCCAATACATTAAAATTGAGTTACGAAATCAACAACACAAGCATGCAACTAATGTAATACAGTAGTTTAGAATATACAAAATATACCATTTTCGCTACTCTCTAAAAGAAAGCACGGGCTATATGCCGATACAGAACACTCCTAAACAAACCCTGCACACCAATTAAAGAGTCAAGAATTAATTGAAAACGAAATGAACAACGAAATTGATAACATACTACATCAAAATCATACAAACTTAAATAATATGTCAGATTAATGAAAATATAGCATTTAAACAACAAAATTGCTGGAAATTTCCACAAGATAAGTGACTATTTAAATTGTTTTATTAAAAATTCATCATGTTCGACAAAACGGAGAAACAATAACAGTAATTCCAGATCCAAAACATTTCAAATCAAATCCGAAATCAGTAATCACAACTCAATTTTATAAAAATAAAGATAAGGAAATTAAATCATTAATTCAGGCGAAATAATAATATTTGAAAATTCAATATCAAAAAACTTCAATCGAATTTTAATACAATATTCAATCATAAAATTTAACTCCAAATCAACAAGTAATAAAAAAACAAAGTAATCAAATAAGCGCAAAAACAAACAATCCGATACAATCAATCAGTTCAACAAATAATAGATAAATCAATACAACATAACAACATCTAAAAGATCAAAAAGGAGATGAAGGTTGCGAAATTTACCTGAGAAGGAGGAGTTTTAGGGTTTGTTAGAGATAGAAATGTAGAGATAAAAATGAGTGGAGAACAAGAAATGAAGAAAAAAAGCTACGGCTGGGTGAAGAAGGAGGGCTTATATTGTGAGGGTTCAACAAAACCCTAGGCGATATGGGCGCTGATGGATCGGATATGCGCATGCATTGATTGCGTATACCATCTCAACTTGACATCTTTCTCATTTTACTCAGCTCCGGAATCCCGAAGCTATATGTTGGTGTATCTATACTCTTAATACTAAAGTAATCCCCGTAATAATCCCTAAATACACGTGTTATCACCATATAAACAATTTTCCCACCAAAATATTTTGTTATCTTTTAATTTTTTTTTTTTTTTTTTTTTTTTTTTTTTTTGTAAGTGTGTTACTACATCTAAAGGAGAAGTTTTTGCCTTACATTTAGGGAGTGATATCCAACAATAATAATTTAAATAAAATTACAAAATATAGTTATATTGAATGAAATGTTAGGTCAAATTACATAATACGAGTACTATTAATATATCATCAACAAAGATTTTTTTTCCCCCAACCAAAATAACATGAATAGTTAGTACTTTTTTTTATTAAGAAAAGGGTAGCTTTCATATTACGGATACTAAAATCTAATTAATTCTTCCGTCTCACATTAATTGTAATGTAATTTAGATATTGAGATTAATCTTATGGTATATCACAATGTTTATTGTACTTTTTAAATATATATTTTTTTTGTATTTCTAATGATTCGTTTTGTACAGTTTCTAATAAACAAATAGTCCGTTCAAAAAAATAAACAAATAGTAAAATATTATTGTAAAACCGTGCATAGCACGGGGTTTGAACTAGTAATATGGCTAAATCATACCAAGCAAAGCTTGGTAGAAATGGTGGGGAACTCACCTTGTGACTAGGGATGTCACTGGGACGGGTTAAGTAGGAGACTCGCGCCCAGTCGGGTGGTGGGGCGGGGATTGGGATAAAAATCATATCCGCTATTTTTGGGTGTTTTTGTCCCTCGGGAGAGTTACCGCTCAAAGACTGATCCGGTGGCGCCTGTAACTGCAAAAATTACGGAGACTCCGGGTGATTAGAGCTCTGCCTCCGACGATCAAGATAGAACGTGTTGGAGAGTATGAAAAGGTGCGGAAAAGTAGAGTGATATTTTCTCGGATTCCGACACTACTACATTTTTGATCAAATGCAACGCCAGGAATAGAGCTAATGCCACGACTTCATTTAATGTCGTTGTAATAGATGAGTCTAATGCAACGGCTACATATAGTAGCATGTTCCAACGTAATTGCTTCTCCCTAATACAACGACATATGAAAGACCGTTGTAATAGGGTGGTCTAATGCGACAACCTATGACTGCAGGCCTGGCCCATGTAGCGCTTTAATTTTTTTGGACATTTCATTTTTCGCGCTGCTCTTTTTGATTTTTCACCTAAACCCTAGATTTTTCCTCCTCCTCCTTCCCCCTCCCATCTTCCTCTATCTCCTCCAATCTGGATATTTTCTTCATCCCTCCTCTTTTACGACCTAGTTTCTTAAATCATTCTTCCCTGAGCTCTTCTAATTAGTTTTCTCTTGGAAGATGGATTTTTGTTGGATCGTTGCTCACCTAAGGTAAATCCTCAATTTCTTTTCTCGTTTCTTCTCCTCCTCTCTATTTCATTATCGTTATTGCTTGATTTAAGGCTTTGTTTGCCTTTTAATTTGATTAATTCCAAGTTTCATGAACTCAATTTTTTTTACGGTGCGTAATTTGATTTTGCGTTTCTTAATTTCCATTTAAGACTAAAATGATTTATTGAATTCAAATTTTAGGGGTTTGAGGATTTTTCTCAGTGAACCACGATAATGTTTCCACAAGATTTCGAAAAGGTTAAAGATGAGTCAAATTGTTGCTGCTCCTACTTAGAAAGATTCTACTCCAATTCGATTTGTGACTCAGCTTCAATCTTCAAGATCTATGTCTGGACAGGTATGTTTATAAACTTGATATTTACTATTAAAGTCTAGATTATTCATTTCTTTTAATTCAAAATACATTGATTTTAATAGTTAAATATTATCAAATGATTAATGTTCACGATATGTTACATTGGTTGATTGTTGTTATGGTGGTTATGTGACCAAATTAAGTGTTTTTATTTTTTGCTATTCTGGCTACTGATAGTTGCCTAATTTGTATTAAAAAGAGGTGTTATTGTTAAATATCCTTTTTAGATTTTTGAAATTATTTGCTTCAATTTTTATTTGGGTTGAAGTTTTATGAGTGTGTTTTAGGGTTCTTGTTTTTTCTCTTGGTATTTTTTGTTGGTGCTACTGCCTTGATTCAATAGTGGTTGTTGCTTTTTGGTATTGTTTTTTGTTGCTATTGCCTTGATTCAATAGTGGTTGTTGCTAGGCTCATATTATACCGTTCCTAGTTGCTGCTATGTATATTTTCGGTGGTTGGTTATGGTTATTCAGTGTTGTTATTGTTGTATGTTGTTGATGTTTGTAGTGTTTGCTTCAACTTGAGTGTTCAAGAATTGGAGCATATATTGCTATGAGCTTTTTTCTTGAATTTGTATGTCACATAAGGATATCTTGAATCGCTACATTGAGTGTGTCTTTCAATCTTTCCTCTTTGTTTAAATTTGATGTTCTCTTAAATTCGATCTTTAGGCATCATTTAAGTTTCTATGCCATGGTCACAATTTCTTTTAGCTTGTTGTCTTCGTAATATACAAATCAACCTTAGATTTACACTTGTATTCAACAAGAAAGTCACAATGTTTTTTGGTGTTGGCTTGTTGATTTAGCTAAAAACATTTACGTACAATACATTTGAGTAAAATAATGATATCTTAGGCTATTGTTTATTATGCTTGGTTGAATTTTGATTTTACAGACCTCTCACATTATGCAATTGGGTCTAATGACTTTAGTCAATATTCACTTTCGAAATGCATCCTTTGTTGTATCAGAATATTAATTAGTATTAGTACGTCAAGTGGAGCTTAAGTCAACTAGAGCTGCATTTGAAGTTTTTCGCATTTGGACCGATGAGAAAAAATAATTGCATATGACATTTTATGCATTTGAACTCAATTTGATTAGTGAACTGTCACCTGAATGGAGTTACATGTTAAAGATGCATGAATAAGTAGTTGGCACATGAAACATTGAAAATATTACAAAAAAAGAGAAATGGCTAAACTGTAAAGATGTCAGACTCATGGTTTATTGGTAATTATTGCAAAATTTTGATATTATTAACTAATTTGCTTTGATTATGTATAAACCTTTTTCATGTTTATTTTGGACTTTTGGTTAATACAACTTACTAGGATGCTTTGAAAAAAAAAAAAAAGATATTAACTTATATTGTGCAGATGGGTTCACTTGGGGGCCAGGCTCATCTATCACCTTCTAATAGGGAAAGAAGGTCAGAGAAAAGATATCAGTTTTTGTATTTAAGATTTGCTTTTTTTCTTTTTTAAGTGCTCGATTCTTCTATAATTCAATTTGATTTGTTTGTGTGTTTTGTTTATCAGGGGATTATCAATTATTGGATATGTGTGAGTAGTGCTAGAGGTGGATACTGAATCCAAAGAAGACGCTTCACGAATTGTTCCCGGATTGCTTTACTTGAGAAATTGGAGAAGCAGTAAAAGAAATGATAATGCGATCTAAAGTATTGCTGAAAATGTAGTCTGGGGGATAAATGATTAGTTTTAACTTTGAATTGTTTTTTTTTTCTTACTTTAACTAGGGATAATTCAATTTTGTAATTTTCCTTAAAGATAACAATGTACAAACTTATAATTTATATTAATAAAGTTCTATTTTTTTAATTGAAAATTTTGATTTTAATTGTATTATAATTATAATTATAATTATAATAATAATAATAATAATAATTATTATTATTATTATTATTATTATTATTATCATCATCATTGACATTAGGTATTTGCACTGTGTGAAATTAGGCTTAAGGAACCGTGGCATTAGGGTATATGCACCGTGGCATTAGGCATAGGAAACCGTGGCATTAGGTACTATAGCTAATGCCACGGTAATAATATTGTCGTTGCATTAGGTATTGATCTAACGCAACGGATCATTGATACCGTGGCATTAGATGTCATATGTCGTTGCATTAGACCTACTGCAACGCCAGCAAATGTCACGGTACATGGCCCTTGCAATAGGCCTAATGCCATGGATTTTGACGCTTAATGCAACAGATTAGGGGGTTGCAATAGGTCAAAAATGTAGTAGTGCGAGATCAGACGTTTTCTCTAATGTAAGAGAATATAGAGTTGTTGTAATAAATGTACCTGCCCCATAAATGGGAGAAATCTCCCTATTTATAGGGTCATTGGGAAAAGTTTCCTTTCATAGGTCATTCTGACCTAATTTGGTGGGTTGCGCCGTAATACGGCTTTCTTGAGATTTGGGCAAAAAAAGAAGCCTTTTCCCTCATCTGTTTGGAGTGACACATGTCATTAGGTGAGAGGTCCATTTGGGCCTCCCGAAGGCTGACACGTGCTTTCTGATAGAGCCACGTGTCTTGGGTAATTTTACCCAAAACATTTGCCCCTCATAGATGTGACGTGGCTTGCCACGGGGCATCTGTGACATTTGTCACGCATCATTGGGTGGTCAGTTTTACTGTTCACCCATCTAGGAAATTTACAGGGTTGCACCTGGATTCACCCTCTATTAATATCATCGTTGCCCCTCATTTTTCACATATTCACGAAAAAACTCTTTAGAGAATCTGAGAGAATCTTTGACTTTTCTCAAAAGAACTTTTTCTCCTGCCGCTTGCTTTCATCCGTCTGGCACAGCCGACTGAAGTAACTTTCAACAGTACCTTCACGAGGTAACCGTCTGCCCTTTCTCTCTCTTTATATTTCGTTTTTTCGTCTGTGTTTGTTTTTCCCTTTTTACAAATGGTATCACAAACACACACGACATGACCTAGGATAGCTATTAGCTGGTCACCTAGGATGGCTAAATCTAGGACTAGGGGTGCCGCCTGCCCCAATCTGCACTCGTCCCCGAATCCGACCGTGTCTGTGTCTATGCAGGATATTATGGCCAAAACTAAGACGACAGCTCAGGCGTCCAGTGATGAAGAGGACGAGAGTTGTATTAGGGTGCCTAGGAATGAGGTCTCCTATCAT